TTCAGATTGAGTTTGGTCAGTCATTTAGTTATTTTGGTTGGATTTTGTCTAACTGTGCAGCGTCACTAGTTATTTTCAGCACAGGTAGCTTAAAATAGTGGCACCACCAAAATGGTTTTGGATCTGGCACGTTTTGGGTTGTGTGTGTGTGTGTGTGTGTGTAAGAGAGACAGCCAGACAGAGAGACAGAAAGAAAGAGAGAGAGGGTGTGTGTGTGTGTGTGTGTGTGTGTGTGTGTGTGTGTGTGTGTGTGTGGCAGTAAATAAAGACTTAAAGACAGCTGAGGATACAAGGATGTTCTTAAAGTCTTTGGGTGGTCCAGCCTCTCTGGGAGATTCAGCCTACTTTTTGTTGGTGCCAACGCCGAACAGTGGTCATTATTAGCAGACGAAGAAGCCCCACCAGGCTGGGATTACCTTCCAGTCGACTGCAGATGTGAACGTCTAAACTGTTCTCCCACTCTGTTTTGATGTGCTCTATTGCAGGTTCTGAGTGCTGTGCCAAATCCAGAAAAAAAAAAATTGACAGCTAAATGAAATCATTCATTTTCTGGTCTGATGTCATCCAAAAATTGCCATAATTGCCGAGGCCTGGCGTCTCTGGTCTGTGACTGGCAGAGACACCAGCGCCGGGCGAGGTGCATAAGAGGAAAGTAGACTGGAGGATGCTCCCAGTCAGATCTGAGTTAACTCTTTGTCTGGTTCAAAGACAGATCAGAGCTGTATGGTACAGTACAGTAAGGTGCACACGACCACTTTCTTCTGCCTGTGTAGAAAACAAGCAAAGACATGATAAGACTTGATGTGGTCAGACCAGAGAGGCTAATGATAGACTATGAAACCCAGTGGCGGAGGCTCAGGGTACTTCAGTTCACTGTATGGGAATGCACACAAGATGCACTTATGTAACCGCGAGAGCCACTAGGAATCCAGAGCAAAGGAGATTCACAGACTGCACATCACATCAAACTTTCACTCCAACATGAAGTCTATCTCTTCCATCACAACTTCCTTGTGTGTGTTCAATTCTTACTTATTCGTTTCTGAAATCCTGCATTTGTGGTTTTGTGTTTTGATAAAACTAACCCTGCACCAACACTATCGAAAAAGACTTAGACTTAGACTAAACTTTATTCATCCCTTGGGATGACTCCCGCAGGAAATTCGGGTCACCAGCAGCTGTACAAGTAAAAAGGTAAAAAAGGTGCAAAGTGCAACATGCAAAACGTAGTTACAACATAAAATAAGATAAAATACAAAAAATTAAATAAAATACAAGTTACACAATCTACATAAACTCTATAGACTCTTGCACATTGAAAAAGGTACATAGTCCGCATCGAGATGGAAAAAAGAAATACACTCCTAATAAAATATAGAAGTAGCATATGATGGTGTGTGTGTGTGTGTGTGTGTGTGTGTGTGTGTGTGTGTGTGTGTGTGTGTGTGTGTGTGTGTGTGTGTGTGTGTGTGTGTGTGTGCACATGCGAGCGTGCGTGATGGGACGATGGTTGCAGCATGTGAGCTAGGTGGGTGGTGTCTGCTGCCTCTTCCCTACTGTCCTCAGTCACCTCCTACCCCCCAGTGAGGAGTAAACACACAACTCCTGAATTCTCAACTTTAAGAGGATGAAATTTTATTTGTATTTAAATTTGACTGAAGTTGTACCAACTAATACTTAAGTATAAACTTCAAAGAGTAGCCAGCTCTATCCTTGTTTTTAGCCTAACAGAGCACGTAAGTCTTCCTCATTTTGGCCCAAAGCTCATTATTTCAATTGTTGTAGTTGACTCTTGTGTTAAGAAGTAGGCAGAATGTGTCTGATTGGTTTAGTGAATCTGAGCCTTTTTCAAATTAACAAATTTGCCCAATACCAATAAAAATGAGCTGAAAACGCAGCTACTGTGGAGCATTTTACAGCTTAGCAGAGGAGACCAAAAGCGGAACTAAACGACACAAACTTTGATCTTGTATATCAGAAGGAGGGAAAACTAGTTAAAAATTGATAGCAACTGCATGACAAAAAGATCACCCAAATTTGATGAACAAGAGTTATTAATATTTAGTGTGTCTGGTATATGATGGCAGTGTTTTTTCTGCTGTTTCATGGTGATAAAATGTCTGTTTTTGCAGGCTCAAAGAATGTGACATTAAAACATAATTCGTGCTGGCATTTCAGTTTTCCTTAGGTTTATGGGTGTTTTTTTCCCTCTTAATCTTGATGATTAAACGTCGAGCAAACATGATGGACAGGAATGCATAAAACTTGAGCAATCCCCATGATTAATAATGTTATACTGTTATTTGCTTGCTTGCGCAATTTGTGTTGAGGTAATGTTTGCCTTTCTCTATTTTACGTGTAAACCCATGGAGACAAATATATATTGTACACTCATGTTTAGCAGGCTAAAGAGCTTTGAACAAGCTTATCCATGCACTCTTATGATATGCAGGCAGTTAACAAATTTTTCTGACCAGAAGTCGTACCTTGGGTTCACCTTGACTTTGTGGCCTGCCTGAACTAACACTAACAACACTGCACTACATGCTGTATGCCTGACTAGTACATTCTGTCCTGGTTAAGTAATAAACAGTGTCATAAACAGAAAAAAAAAACAAGCCACCCACCCATCATTCTGCACCACTGACTGTATAATGACATAATATTTACAGCCTTTTTAATGAGCCGCTGAACTGCGGTGAAGCGCAACTGAGTTTGGTTACATCTAGACTCATAAAATTGTTGAGTAAATAAATGCAAATGTAAAATTTAAGCTCTGATTAAATGTTTTATTTCCTGAATTGTTCTCTGGAGGTCACACTAATAAGGCTTTTGCAAAGCGTCTTTTTAACAGCAAAGATGAGAGGAAGATTTTGATTCATCTTTGTATTTGTGCATCAGTTTGTTTGGAGTTTGGAGCAGAGGCCTCATGGTCCAAAGCGTACTCTCAAAGATTGTTTCTGGAGAATAATAAGATCAGACAGTTTATTTGGTCTGTCTGGGAATCAGGCAGGAGGTTGTAAAAGGTTTGAAGCTCTTCCCTTCATCCTCTGCTTTTCCTTTCCCTGACCTTAAGTTCTGGGGTTTAAAACAAAGAGTTAAAGGATGTTAGTCTTGATCGCTGGCTCTTACTCTTAGCCTGCTTCCTCTCTTACCTCACGGCGACCTGTCCCACTTCTCCACTTGGCCCGCTCTGTCTCTACCTACCAGACACACTCCAGCCTTCAGGGACCAGGATCTACGCTCAGCCTGTTGTGTAACAGCAGAGTAAAGAGATAATACTCTTTGCTCAAGACAAGCCTTCAGACTGTACTTTCACCTGCCATCATTAACACAGTTATCTTCAAATCCCTTCACGGCAAACAGCAGTGTCACACTTTGAACCCAGATTAATGGGACATGGTCCACATTTGAGGCTTAAGAATCTGAGCACTATAAAAAGACTATTAAAGACTTGAACTTTACCTTTAAGGCAGACATTCAAGTTTCTCCTGCCAGTACTGCTCTGTAATGATATACAATTATGTTGGGAAGCATTCTGTCTATATAAACTGAGTCCACAGAAACTGTTGGGTATATTCCTAGATCCAAACGGATTAAAACCTCAAGTCTTTCATCCTCTGATATTTAATCTCACTTCAAAAAAAAAAGAAATTTCGCAACTTGCATCTCCCATGTCCTCGTATCCCACAAACGTCAAGACATCCGGCAGCAGGGACATCTCTGAGGTCTGGCCTGCAGCAGGGCTCAGTTCCCAGTGGATTGTGGGAGTAATTGCCTGCATGGGTACAGTTCTGCTTCCCCTTCATGCTTCCCCTGCACAGGCTCTCTATGAAAACAGTCTGTAAGTGATTGCTTCCAAGAAGTTGTCAGGGATAATATATAAGTACGTCTTTACAAGGATACCAAGGACACTGTAGAAAGCACTTGTTCGAATAACGGCGAGCAAATTCTTTCTGTGAATGTTTGTTTAACTGACCTCAGCTCTGTGCAGACCAGGAGTCAAAGCAGGTCTGTGGGCAGCAGCACAGACTTATGCAATTACATTTCCAGGACATTTCAATAAAATAATGCAAGTTCAAGATTGGGGCAGCATGCACGGTCACACTACTCATACATGAATATAGTCTGTGTTTCAAGTTGATCTTTTATTTTATCACGAAAGAATGAAAACTAACCACCAAAAGGTTTAAGCTGTACCAAATCTCATCTTTTTTTTTTCTTGTTCAAAGAAAAAAAGGGTTACCAAAGTCAGTGTTTCAAGGGGAAATGACACGACAGGATCTGATCTGTGTGTCTGTGGAGCTGTTTGCGCTTAGACTTACAGCACAGCGCCCTCTAGTGGAAAATACGTACAATCAAATCCAGGTTTTTTTTTAATCATTATTTTTTTGTAAACCAACTTCTGAAAACTCATGTAAAAATCTTGCCTGATGTTCCCTCCACCTTTGCACATTGACTTTCTGTCTGCAAAAGCTGATGAACGTTTGATACCCAGAGTTGAAGCTGAGATGTAAAGGAAACAAACATATCTAAAAACTGTGATGCGTTTGGTGTCAAACTCGATTTGGTCAAGCAGTCACTGTCTCTGATAAGCAAAGATCTGTAAATAACATTCTCCAAGAAGAATAAAGCAGACCGAATATCAAGCCAACACGATTTGAAGTAAATAATGATAATAATGCTGATTAGTTGAACAGAACAAATGAGGAAGTGTTGACAGAGTTTGACACTTAAAGGAAGTGTGAGTGAGCTAGACTGTGGTCCTTTACATAGTGGTGTTATCCCATGTGTCTACTCCGGTCTATATTTAGTTGTTGTCATGTGTGGGGCAGGTCAGCTGGGATCCTGCAGCAGGACACGCCTCTGGCTGAATGGAGCGCGCCGTGCGTAAAGTCCGACCTCAGCGGATACTCGTTTTTTAAACTTTCATTTTCAAGTGTTTCTTCTGAGAATTTTACCGCCATCGTTCATTCGCTCTTCGTCGAATAAATGCAGCGATGACACGTGAGGAAGATCTCATCCGAATTGCCAAAAAACTAGACAAGATGGTGTCTAGAAATAACACGGTGAGTCCGTATTTTGGCACCCACAGGTGGCGCGTTATCTCGCTACCTCGTGTTGTGCAGAAGGCCCGTGAACGCTTCTTGTCGATATGGAGACGGTTTACCTCGCATAAACGTTGAAGAAAAGCGGTAACCTCGTCCGTTCATGTGTGTTTGGAGGGTCTGTGTCGCTGTAATTTGAACCTGACGGTGCTATAACAAACGATCAACAGGTGTTTGGCGCGTATTTGCACTTCGCCTGCAGGACGTGGAGTTCCCTGCGAGTCTGTGGCAAAAGTTGGATCGAGTTTAGTCGGCTTATCGATAAGTTTGTGTGAAACTTTTGCAGGTGGTCGTATTCGGTTTGAGCAATAATGCAAAGGTAAACAACGCGGCAAAGGTCGACTCTGCCTCTGTGTGTGTGCGCGCGTGCGTTTGAGCGCGTGTGTGTGAGTGAGTGTGTTGTGACTGACTGCAAACAGGACGCTGTTTCATGGCGCTGGTGCACAGTTGGAGTAGCATTTGCTGCAGACGATAGTGTCACAGTCAGCAAAACTACAAGCTGTAAAGTACAGATTGAGGCAAACGGACAGTAAAAACATATTTCCATGATGTTTAATCTTCTTTTTACATCGTCACAGCACATTTATTAATAAAAAGATCAAAAGATTTAAAGTGGTTTTTGTTTTAATTCTGTTTGTTTGTTTTCAGGAAGGTGCCATTGACCTGCTGAGGGAACTAAAGGGTTTCAATATGACTCTCAAACTCCTTCAGGTTAGCAGATTAGTTACTATATTATAGCCCTGTGTTTCTATCTTTTTACCCCTCCCCAACACACATGCACACACGTGCACACACACCACCACCAAATACAATCTAAAGCTCCTGTAAGGAGTTTATAGGACTTTTAACCCTAGAGCATTATTGCAAATTAGTAACACCATTACTATCGCAGGGTGATTGAGGAAAAAGTACCTGTCATCAAATTATATTAAAATAGGACAATACATGACAAATTAAAGTAGTTTTCTTTTATTTTTAACTGTGCAATGTCCAAAGGTAAGAAAGAATGTGCAAAATCACGTAAACATGTTTGGTCGGGTGAAAACTACCTGGTGATAGTGTTCTAGGGTTAATAAGAACCGTAACACTCCTAGAGGGATTTTTTTGACATTTGCGAAATTGATTGAAATTCATAGTGATGCTTATCTGTGCTATCCAAAGAGATTTGTAATATTTATATGTTAATTTTTAATGCCTGAAAGCAGTGTGACAGGGTAGGTGTCAACCATGCAGGAAAAACAGCCCTTTTTAAAAATGTTTCAATCAAGTATTAACAATAAATGAATCACTCCGCTGTTTAAGGTGAGCAAGAAAGTTTTTTTTATTTTTATTTAAAAAATCACTACTGTACCACGTAGAGGACAAGTTATGCAAAGACACACCTCCTAAGCTAATCATTTAGCAATGATTTCTGCTGTTCCTGTAAGAATAAAGTGCAGTGAGATTACTTACAAACAAAAAACAAAAACAGCCAATAGTAAAATTTAAGCATGTGCAGGACAAACACAGCAAAGAGCTAACATGTAGGCATACAAGTCTGTCCACAAGTACCAAAATCAACCCAAAAAGTTCCTTACTGAAGCTTTAAAAATGCAAGCAAAGATGACACATGATTCACAATTTAATTTGCATTTCTTTGTGTGTGTTTGTTTTAGGAAACAAGAATTGGCATGTCTGTGAATGGCATCAGGAAACACTGCACGGACGAGGAAGTCATCGCCCTGGCAAAGGTTCTCATTAAAGACTGGAAAAGACTTCTGGGTACTCTTCTTCTTGACCTGATGCATGATTTACAGTTGTTCAGAATTCACTGAGGTTTTTCATAGTGATATATCCTAATAAATCAATACATTCATAAACGATTTGCTGTCCTAATTCATCCAACACTCCACAGACTCGGGAAGCTCTCATGCTGAAAAACCATCAGACATGAAGAACGGTTTGGACTCCAGCAAAGCCGTGACATCTCCTCCTAACAGCCCCCCCTCTGACACACAGAGCAGGTCAGTGCAGGGATGTTTCATATGACCTTTTCCTTTCATTTGTAAGCACACCTTACTTTTATCACATTTAAATGGCCAATACTGATAATAAGAGAGCAGGGTGACTGCTGGTCGATACATGCTGATATTTCCTTGTTGATTTTTACTCTGCATTTGACAAAACAGAAAAATGTAACTGTACTTACAAATGAGAAACAAAATTGCTGAATTTGAGTAAAAATTCTATCAAACTTATTTAGAGGAGACAATATTTGGCTCTGTGAAGTATTGCCACAAGGGTCTTTTGGTTGTCATCCAGCTATCTGAATTTATCAAGAAAGGAAAAAAATACAAAGCAAATATTAGGGTCCAAATAAAAAAGAAAAATTAAAAACATGTCAAATTATGTTATTCTATGTGTATTAAAATCTAAAATACACAGTAACCTTTGTGAGTAACATCTTTGAGACAGATTTTTAATGAACTGATGAAAAGGGAAATACATTGAGTTATGCTGTAAACTTCAGAGTTAACCCACTGAGCAATAGACGGCTATTAGCCGTCTAGTTTTCTTTAGACCCTAATTTCAACTGTCCAGATTTTGTATATTTTTAGACAGAATTTAGACGTTACACTTTAACCCATTATTTGATAACTATTTATTTTAAAAAGCAACTATGAGTTGCATAACTGATCTCCAAGTACTTAACCAAAATAATTATGATAGCCATTGAGCAATATACAGTTTAGTATAGATATAGCCCAGATTTAGACTTGCTCTAAACTTGGTCTAAATTTAGACGTCTAAAAATCGTTCATTTTTAGACCTGTGGTAGCCTGATTTTAAACCAGTCGTCAAGGCAACATTTAGACGTCTATTAGACCTCTTTAAGACCAAAAAATGCTCAGTGGGATACTAAATGCTGATTACATCAAAATGCCAATAATCAGTATCATTAATCAGTCTGTCTTTAATGGGGATGGTTTGTGTTTTCTGAAGTGGGGTTGTGTGAGGTACTGGTCAAAAATAATTGTCTTACCCACAGGGGATGCTGGTCAGCTTGGCCCCTTCATTAACAAACCTGCTGGAGAAAGTGGGTGAAATCAAGGCTATCAACAGTAAGATGGGGTCAATGCTTCTGCAGGGTTTAGCTAACTGTAAGGAAAAATCTAATTAGGTAATTGGTAAAAATGAGCTAATCAAATCAAACTGATACTGGTGTTTAAGTGATGGTCTGTTCAGTAAATCAGTGCTTCACTCAGCTGCCAGAAGGTCATGCTAGTTTAATATTATTCACAGATGCAGCTTACATGTGATCGTGTAGAACTGTCCCAATCTGTGTGGGGTGACACACTTCCTGTTGACAAGTACCTCACATCATCCCTCTTCAAAACACCTGAACTAATCCTTTAATTCAAGAAACAGGCAAAAGTTTGCACAGCCCTAGACAAACAGTATTTATACATGTTCAGTCATGTACCACTAAAATAGCCGCCTTTAAAATGATGTGACAGAAGATTTCTCAAAAACCACAAAAGAATCTGAAAGGTAGAAGAAAATGATCATCAGTAACACACCACAGTCTGCCCCGAGGATTACTCTGAAGCAGGAAAATGAATATTTGCTTCAGGATGATGTAAAATGATGTAAAGACCATCTATGTTTTTGTGCTAAAGGAGATTTAAATCTCTCCATTTTACCTCAGTTTCTTCGATTTTCATCATCATTTTATTTTGAAGAAGTATAATATCCTACCCACTGATGGCTGGTTTCTATCATTCTGGCATGTGCTGTTTTTCCTCAGAGTGAAAAAGATATATTTATTTCTGGCACAAGCAGTCAATATCAGGGATATCCAAATCTTTTCATTTCAAAGACAAGAACAAATGCAGAAAAAGGGCAGAGGGTTTTCATACAAACCTAAAAAATTAAAGCAAATTAAAAGAAAAACAAATATTTGTTTGGTTGGTCGTCTTCAGTGAATTTATCCAGTCTCCTAAAAAGATTTGAAATCATCTCTCACGTGTTCTGTAAACTGTTCACTGGAATTTTGTTAAACTAAAACGAAACTAAAAACTTCACTAAAAGAAAAGGAGATACACCTTCTGTTGCAGCTGATCAGATTGGATATGAGTATGAGAGGAAGTACTTTATCATCTTGCAATTTAAGAAATGAGACAATGCGGCTTAAGTTGTAAAAAACAAACCTGCTCTAGGTAAAACACATGACTGTTCCCTGGCTCATGAACAGAGGTAAAAAGTTTGACGTCTTTGTTTCTGTTAGTCACAGGAGACTGGATGTCAAACCCAAACAGGACACAGATCCTGACAGAAAACACCCTGATTTAAACAGAAAAGAAAAAGACAATGATGAGCACATAAACAAAAAGAGAAACACAGATGACCCTGGCTTTCTGAAGCACCTGGACGAGCCCCAAAATGAGAAGAATTCCCAAGAAATCAGAAGAGAGAAGCATTTAGAAGAACTCAAAAAACACCGAGCTGGAGAAAATCACAAAGTGGAAACTGATAACAAGAAACATAAGCATGTTCAGGACCTGCAAAATGAGAAACACAAGCCCGAACCAACGAGGGAAAGGCTTTTTGAAGAACCGAAAAAGATGCGGCTCATGGAGGAAGTGAAAAAGGAAAAACAACACGAGGAGGTGAAGAGGCACAGCTACACAGAGGAGATGAAGAGAGAGAAACACAGAGAAGACAGCAGGCATGAGAGGCCGACAAACAGTCTGCAGAGGCCGCCGTGTGAGAAGCTCGCAGACATTCATAGACCGTTATTTGAAAGGTGAGAGGTGACGGTCAAAAACAAATAATCTTTACCAAAGAGTGTCACCCAGCAGAGCTTCAGACTGACTGATTTATTTCAGGAGGGGAGTTTTGGACAGCAGCATTCTGTATCCCACTCGGTTCCCCTCTCCTCGACCTGAACGGCCTCCCCTGCCGATTAAACGCCCCTCTGTGGACCCGAAAAAAGAAAGGTCAGGACTCGTGTTTCACCCAATCATCAGAGCATGGCAGACTGGATTGTGTCTGCATAACTGAACTGACTGAATCTCTGATTTGCACCGAAATGTGTTCCTTCAGTTTTATATCCTCACTCTCACTGACAGGAAACTATGTGTGCATGCTGCATGCTGTGACCGGATCTCAGGTGTGCCATCATTCAATAAGTTGACATTACGCATGGACAGCATGACGCGTTATCTAAGATTCTTGACTTACCCTGACTTTAAGTCGTAACGTTTGCTCAGGAAGGACCATAAAGACTCCTCCTCCAGACCTCCTCGTCCTCGCCCATCCTCTCCTCCAGCGAAGCGTCTTTCATTAGAAGTAAAGAAAGAGAGGTCAGGCATGCTCTGGTGCACGTCTCTGGAGTGATTTTAGAGTTTAGTGCAAGGATTTGTTACATTGCCCTCATATCAGTGTTAATTTCTGCATCAGGAAAATTCCACTGGACCCAAACGCCCCCATTGCTCCTCTTCCTCTCCACCTCCATCCTCCTCCACCACTCAGGTCTGCACTTGCATGCTTCCTGCGTTGCCTCATAAGAATATCACCACCCTAAAGCTTTTCAGCTCAGCTAAGTGGTGCATTTTCTATCCAGAAAAGAACCTCCTGACCCAAATGCTCCTCTTCCTCCACTTCCTCTTCACCTTCACCCCCCACCTCCTCCTAAGCGTACCTCTCTGGACGGGAAAAAGGAGAGGTCTGGATCTCATAAATTTCATTATTCTGGCTGGGATTATTGTGGAAAAAAATACACTGAGTTTTTCCTTCTCTGCATTGAATCCTTGTGTTGTTTGCCACAGCAGGAAGGAGTCATCAGACTGTAAACCCTCAGCACATAAGAAGGCATCAGATCGAGAAGAAAAGATGGTGAAGAAAGACAGGTTCAGGATCTGGAAATTATTCAGCCTCTCATTCATCCTTGACTAAATGACGTTTGTGTTGTCTTTGGTGGATCAGTGACTCCGACTGTAATATCTGTTTCTTGTTTGTACGAGAAATATTGACACAGTGCAGCGTCAGTATGATATGTTATGCCGTTAAGAGAGTTCCTGTTTTCTTCTTGCAGGAAAGACTCATCAGATAGCAAAGCGCCAAAAAAACACTCAGATGAAGCCAAGAGAGAAAGGTTGGCGAGACATGAGTGTGAAAATGTGGTGTGGTTCAGACTTAAGTTTCCTCAAAAGGCTTTCTGATGGTTTCAAAGCGTGAAGAACTTTCTATTCCACGAATTTATCAACCTGTGAGAGGATTTGTTTGGGAGTAAAACCGATGTCTCCTTTTGTCAGGAAAGATTCAGGTGATTCTAAACCACAGCCTCCAAAAAAGCCCAGTGTGGATGTCAAAAAAGAAAAACAAAGGTGTGCAGAAGCAGGACATTGAAATCCACTCTCCAATACATTTTTTGTATCAGAGAGACTCTTTGGTTTTCTTTTGCATAAATGATTTACACACTACAAAATTTGCACTTTTTGTTTTTAGGAAAGACTCCTCTGACTCAAAACCTGCCCAGGCTGTGAAACGCCCGTCCACTGACGCTAAACCTGACAGGTAGGTCTGGTATCTGGTATGCACTTCAGATCTCAATCTCACCTGAAAAAGAAATAAAAACTCATCGCAGGTTCAAACAAAGTCTTTGTTACCGTAGACGAGAATCTACTGATTCAAAGAAAAGCAGCTCACCACCACCAGCAAAGAAGCTAACAGCTGAAAGGTAACTACCACAGGAGAGGAGAGATGATTGTCCATTAAATTTACATGATCATAATAATTCTGACTTTAAGAATTTACAGGAGAGAGTCTCACGGATCCAAGACCTCCCAGCCTGGACCACCAACAAGGAAACCCTCTACTGACAGCATTGAAAGGTTTGCGAACACTTTTGTGTGCGACACTGAAAGTGATTGCAGCTTTATTTCACTCTATGCTGACGACACAAGATCAGTGTATGCAGTCCAGCAGAAGTGCAAAGTCTTAAGGTCCTTACACACCAGCGAATTTGCAGAGCGAAGCGAAAAAGTGAGACGAAAATGCGAAAATATTCGCCGGTCCGAAAAATCGCTTTCGCTTTTACACACCGGGTGACCACTCTGTGGTACACTCTCCCCCATCGTTGCTCTTGGTGCCAGTGGTGGTGTGTGTCGTGTGAACTGCAGCCGCATGGGTCTGTGACGTCATCAACAACATGACTTTTGATTGGCCAGAGGTCTAGCAGGTCCAGATATTCGCCCGAAAAATTCGACAAAAGAGTGAAAAAATAAAAGACACTTTTCGCCCCATGGAAAAATCGCCGCTGGTGTGGAAGCTTCCATTGACTTTATGCTGTTTTAAAAAAAGGTGAATAAAGGCGAATAATTGGCCTGGCGAATTCGCGCCCGGTATGTAGGGACCTTTAGATCAATGCTGTTGATTTGCAGAATTATCGGATTTGTCTGCTGCATCTCTTCAGCTCTGAGAGAGCTGCTGTACTGTTCAGTTCAAACTATTTAGAGCAGCCTACAAAATAACAGTGTTGTACAGTCTCTCGTGTTGTTTTTAGCGGCCTGCTTTAATTTTAGTTTAAGTCTAGTCTTTGTGTCAAACTGTCATTTTAGTCTTTACTAGTTTTAGTCACGTTCAAACTCATTTGAACTCAAACTCACTAAAACTCTGAGCATTTTAGTCTAGTTTCAGTCAGAATAACCCAGACTATTTTAGTCTAGTTTTAGTCAATGACTTTGATCTTTTTTTAGTATTGTAATTCTGTTTAACTCAGTTAATTTAGTATAATTACCTAGTATAGTATAGAATAGATAAAGCCCAAATTTTACTTTTGGTGCAACCTGGCCATGACTCCAACTCGCCCAAAAAGTCTTTGCCCACCGCATCTAAAAATACTGTGAGTTAGGGGATTGAGGATGTGACATCACCTGCGTCTGAGCAGGGCAACGCGCAGCCGAGGAAACAGAAAACAATAGCAATGCGACTGAACAATTTCGTCTTGTCTCGTTTTAGTCAACGAAAAAGAAGAGACATTTTAGCGGAGTTTTTATTTTGTGAACCACGTTTATTCTTGTTTTTATTTGTCAACAATATTGCATTTTATATGTAGTTATAGTTATCATCACAAGACCACCATTTACATTTCGTCTCTTCTCGTTTTCGTCAAGTGATTGAAGTTTGTTGATGATGATATTTCCTCATAATTTTTGTTGACGAAAGCAACATTAGCAGTATCTTTGCAGCTTGACCTCTGAATGAGAGTAAAAGGGAAATAAAAGATAGGAATAAAAAATTGTGAATAAGGTAGGGAATTAAAATGCTCTGTGATTGATAAGAAGTCCAGAGATGAAATGCTAAAATAAAAGGTACACTTACTGTATGTAAAGATACAAACATTAAAGGATGATGGAATAACTGAGGTCATACCAGACTCAGCACAAAGACTATGACTCTTTGATTGTTTTTTTCCTTTTTTTGCAGAAAGGGCAAAATAGACACCCCTAAAACTCCCACCACCCCTACCAGCCCGTTATCACCCAGCTTCAGTTCTGCTGGGGGTCCACTGTCCCCTCACCTCTCAACCGGAGAAACCATCAGAGACAAATGCATTGAGATGCTGGCAGCAGCTCTGAAGACTGACAGTGAGGATGAGATTACAATCATTTAGAGCCTCTCACAGATACAGTTATTAGTGTGGAGCCGTGTGAGAAACCCACAGAGATTTCCACATTTTGGAGAAAGTGTTTTCTTTTCTCTTCACAGATGACTACAGAGACTTTGGAACCAACTGTGACAGCATGGCTGCAGAGATTGAAGATCATATCCTTCATTTGAATGAATTTATTGTCTGTCGTGGTGGTTAGACAAGTTCATTCTGTGATGAGCCACATCATAATGAGTTTATTCATCATCATTGCTATGATCCTTGACTGTACAGTTGCACATATCTACCAGGAGATCAAGGCCACTGATATGAAATATAAAAACAGAGTCCGCAGCCGCATCAGCAACCTAAAGGACCCAAAGAACCCCGGACTTCGCAGGAATGTCCTCGCAGGAAGTATTGAATTAAGTCGCATCGCCAGCATGTCTGCTGAGGTACAGGACACTGTAGCTGCACGCCTAACTCGCCTAACATAGACTGTATATACTATGGACAACTTGGTTCTGCCACCCGCCAGTATGAGGATTTGAAGCCGAAAAGCTCTCAGTAATTCTGCGTTTTTTCTCCACTTCCTGAAACCAACATTGCGCAGTAGCGTTGTACGCACTCCACCACTTGTACAGTAGCATTGTACGCATTCTGCGGGAGAGTCGCAGAGAGTCGCTGTGATGACGCTTAGCTCAAACAGCGGATCCCCCGGGTGAGCTACGCAATTTTCATACGCCCATAGGCTGTATCAAGTGTCAGTCATAGAAAACATGAACCCCCTAATAACTTTTAAAAAATGGAGCTGTACAGAAAAAAGAGGACTTGAGCACAAACCAGTCTTACAATAACCAAATGTCAACATCACAAGCAGGGGGGAGAAAAAATTATATTCTGTGTAATAAATTTATAGTTTGTCCACAACTCCATAGGCTTGCTGGAGGAGGCGGGATTTATGACCTATACTGCAGTCTGTTACTAGGAGTGGCTTCACCCAGCGAGGACTCAAACGCTGTCCATTCTATATACAGTCTATGTTCCTAACTTCCATGATTGCACATCACTAACTGTGTTTCACTCACGCCTCTGCTCTGTTTTTTTCACACCTGTGTGTTTCTGCAGGAGATGGCCAGTGATGAGCTGAAACAGCTGAGGAACGTTCTCACCCAGGAGGCCATCAGGGAACACCAAATGGCCAAAACAGGGGGCACCACCACCGACCTGCTGCAGTGCGGCAAGTGCAAGAAGAAGAACTGCACCTACAACCAGGTAATAAAGAGATACACGTGAAGAACATTTGCACAACATGAAACCTTCAGAGAGAGAAAATGCATCTTTTTGATGAGGAAGGAAAGAAGGAAGGAAGGAGAAAACTATGAACAGAAATCCTTGTGATCAGGCTGCAAAGTTTCAGTGATTGCTGTGTGAAATATAAATGACCATTTATTCTGGATTCTTCTCAAGAACAAGTTTCTTGCTCAGTGACGGATTCAATTCTCAGCAGCTGTCAGAATCAGAGGCGGTACAAATGACTGTGTAGTAAACGCTAAATGTCCTGTGATATATCCAGCTGTTGTTTCCGTTTGTCTGTAAATGATGTGTGTTCGCTTTTATTTTGATATTCTTCCTGTGTGTCAGTATTTTATTGCACGGTAAAAGTGAGTTTACAGCTCGCTAAGCCTGCTCTGTGTGTGTGTGTGTTGTAGGTGCAGACACGCAGTGCTGATGAGCCCATGACCACATTTGTTTTGTGTAATGAGTGTGGTAACCGCTGGAAGGTAAGTCTGTCCCTGGCTTCCATTTGAATGATGGATATCCTCTAAACTCAGGAATCTTGTCTCAGAGTTAATCGTTTGTTTCCCCTCTGTATTTCAGTTCTGCTGATGCCTCCCAGGTGGAATCAGGTTTTATTTTTCTGAGCATCATCATGAACTGCCATTTTTCTATTTTCTGAGGGGGGGTGGGGGTTAATAAAATATTGTAGCTTGTGATTTAAAGGGAGAAAAAAGTGTTCTTAAAATTTTTACTTGAATTTTTCAGATTTATAAGCATGTGCTTCCACTGACAGTTTGCTTTTTTTGTTGAATTGAAGACTGAGCATGAATTTCAGTTTGATGACTGTTGGAGTAATAAATTATGATCACAGTGCTGCAAAAGAATCAAATACTACCCTGTAAAACTTGTGTACCATCACAGCAGGTCACTCTGTATATATCTAATTCCAATAAAACAGCATTGATCTTCAGTTTGACGGTTGGTTTAACTCTGTTTTGTGCTTCCTCTTACATCATCGTAATCATCTTTAAGCCAAGTCAAGTTTACAGTGTGATTTTATATGTGATAGAGTTGCATATTTTTGCCACACACTTAATTTATTCAATGACATTTACCCAGCTCACCACAGTTGCTTGGTCTCTTATCAGAATCAAAGTTTAGAAGACTAAAGTAAATCCATGTATGTAAATGTTTTTTATTTATACAGCCCTTTACGACAACCCTTTCGGTGAACCAAAGTGCTTTACAATAAATAGTAAATAAATATGAATAAATAAAAGCAATAAAAACAATTTAAAAAAGAATAAGATACAATGCAATAAAATGAAGTGTCACCACGCTACTGGGTATTAAAAGCCAGCATGAATAAACACATTTTCAATCAGGATTTGAAAAGGCCCAGGTCGAAAATAAGTCTCATTTCGTTGGGGAGCTTATCCTAGAGCCTGGGACCAGCAACTGTAAAGGCTCGGTCACCCCAGTGTTTGTGTTTTGATCTGGGCACCTCCAGCAGAAGTTGGTTTGACGACCTCAGAGATCTACCCGGCTCCCGAACGGTTAAACGCTCAATTAAATAGATGGGGGCCGAAGCTGTTAAGAGCTTTAAAAACAAACATTAAAAGTTTAAAATTAATCCTAAAAGATGTAGTAGACTAAAATGAAACCTAAGATACAAAGAAAGAAGTCAAAGTGTTATAGTGTTCAAAATAAACTGAGAAAAAAAAAATCATCCTCTACAGATTCAACATTGACATATTCTAGTGGAAGACCAGGTGTGTGTTCAGGTATGTACACTTGGTTATCTGTGAGTTCATTAGAAAGTCACCCTCAAATATGTCAACCTGCTGTGTTTTTTCTGAATTTATGGTAATAGCTCTGTTTTTTAAACCGTGATGAGAGCTCTCATCTAAGGAAACAAACTCATCCTGACTGTCAAGTTTGGTCAGGTTACCTATTATTTTGGTTGGCGTTTGAGGCATTAGGAAATACTCATGTCTTAACTTGGCATAGGTATGAGTTTGGCACGTCAGGACTAGACAGGTTCACATCAAGCCAGTTCTGGTCTACAGGGCATTACAGTGTTTCTCCAGAATTAGAGCTGCTTCATGGATATACGGTGATGCTGACACAGCAATTTAAATAAATATATTTAAGTCAAATCAAGCATTTAGATACTGATGAAATCCAGATTTTATCGCTCAGATGCTGCTAAAAAAGGGGGCTAATAAGTGTTTCTGTTGCCTTACTTCAAACACACAGTAGGTGGCAACAACTCATCGTGACTCCAAATACAGCTGCATCAGCCCCCACTGAATCTTCCTTCCTTAGGTGAGCAAATTAAAAAAAATCTATACTTGTCAGTTAGAGTCAGTCTAACAAACTTTAAAAGCCAAAAGAGAAGCTGCCAAAAATGACAACATTAAAGCTAATTATGAAAACAAACCTTTTACCCAAATGAGAAATTAGAAAATTTTATGGTTTTCAAGGAATTGTTTAAAATGATGATAATGTATGAGCAAATGGTATTGTGAGAAATGCAGACTGAGCTGTGGAAGAAGAGAGAGAGAGAGAGGAAAAGCTTCCCAGCAACCCTCTGGCTGAGTACTCACCATCTGGTTTCCTGCGATTGGAGACCATATTCATTTACTTCTTCTGCATCATTTCCAGCATTACAAGACTCCTGTTGATGTGCAAACTGAACTTAGGGAGCGTCATGAGGACTGTATAACTCTACTGGTGCATTAGTGTGAAAATCATCAATCATCACACATCCTGAAATCTGAAGCTGCAAATGCCACCTGAAGAGTAAACTACACGGGTTTAGTGAAATCTCTAAAAATATAACCCTAACAGTTAAATAATCAGCACTTGGGTTTAAAAAGGGTTGACACAAGGGGCGAGAAGATTTTAAGTGATGGCCACCTGTTATTTCACCTGGTGATTCTGTCATGCTCCACAAGCCATGTTATATCCTTTTAGTCTAATAAAAAGAAGCTTCATCCACCACAAGGAATAAAATTTCTCTCTCAGGCTTTACCAGCTTTTATAATTTGGGATTTGTCAACCCCTCAGTCCTCTCCAGCACCACACCTCCCCTCCAAATATGCTCACTTTGGTCACAGAAAACACGCCTGGCTGAACTGGAACCTCTGCAAATGAGGAACCAGTGGGTGACATCACGGTGGGTATGTTTTTTTTTTCTCTGCTGTAAATGGCAAACTCTGAAAACTTCTGTAAGGAACAAGTGTGAGGGGCTTTCATAAGATAATTGATCTATCATTTTATAAAATGGCAGCTGCTCTGGTGAGTGAACAGTGATAAATGTCTACTTTCACAGCAGTATTTGTTGTTTTGTAGCTTCAGAGCCTTCACTCTGACGGGGTCACCACAGCAAGAGATGACATTTTAAAGAGCCCAGCTCTCTATCCGTGACTTATAGAAAATAAATCCAGCTCCACTTGGATTTATTCCTGACGTGATTCTTAGTGATGGTGTGTTTGATTCGTAGCTGCTGTGAGGATGGGTTACCTACGTGTGCTGCATCATTATATAAGTGTTTGTCAGTGTCGTCTCTCTGCTGTGACCTATAACACAGATCTATACATGTTTTACAGTGACATGTCATGTCAAGAAAATCAAAGGAGCATGCTGATGTAAGTTCAGTGTAGATGTTACAGTCTCTGGAGAAAAGTGTGTCAGTCTGCCACTGACAGCCACATTCAGGCATCAACAAATCACGTAACTCCAACAGCTTCAGAACACAAAGACCTTGGGAGTCAAAGTGACTGTCAGTCAGGATGAATTTATTTCACTGCACAGCAGATTATTTGGTCACATCTCTGTCAGACGAAAACAGGCTTTGTGGGATTGTTTTCAGTAAAGCGTTAATGAAGGTTAAATGCTTAATAATGTTGCTGGTTTTGTTTTGAAAGATAAAATCTGAACTCGCTCAGGAAAAACAGATTCTTTGGATTATCCTCTGGCGATAATCTGTTTGCTGACTAGTGGAAATATTTGTCTAGAATAATAAACCTGCTATCATGTTGTCTCCTGATGATGCGTGCAGCCTCTTCAAAGAGATTTGGCAGTATAAAGTGCTTGCTACAGCACATAACCAGTCTTTCCTACTTTCATTTTTGATGTCCTCATTTTTGTACCAATAATTCAGCAACACTGAAGGCTTATTGTTTACACCCAGTTAGTTTGTTTGCCAAAAAAAAAGAAACATCCAAACTCTGCCCTCCCCATGTGGATGGATCGCAGACAACTAGATGGATAGCATAAAACCTTTGTAGATCTAGAGCAATATCTTGGGTTCAATGAAATACATGTGCTATAATATGTTTGGAATAAATCTTTTGGATTGTGGGGACCCTTTTTGTTGAATCAAGAGGGGGGCAGACCACTGAATTTTCAGCAGGTTTTAATGTTGACCTTAATGCTGACTCCCAACAGCAAAAACTACTGATTAACTATGGTTTAAGTCAACATATCTGTGAAAGGATTTACTGTTTAAAAAGTAACTTTGCAGCTGACCTGACTGGGTTTAACATTCAGAGGAATGTAGGTCCATGATGTTGCTCTGAAACCCAAAATGATCAGAGAGGCTCCAGACTAATAAGCATTGATCGAAGTCTTGAATAAGCTTGGCTAAAAATGCAACAACATCTTCAACCTGCCAGTCCAACATCTTTCTAAGACTGTCAGTGAGTTTAAATGAATCCAACACATTGCTGTCGTCCCAGATATTACAAATGCCCCTCTTTGGTCCCATAACAAATCAAGGTAAATCCCAGGTGATGTCTTAATGGTCTTTAAAAATAGTTTTTGCCCTTGAAAAATATTAATGATACAATAATCAATGCAGAACTTATTGAGAGAAAACTATATTTAAAAAGTCTGCTGCATCCCTTTGAACATCTGTTTTTCCTGTGTGTCAAGGGGACTGATCAAAACTCTCTAGGGCAAATTCCTTGAGAATTCCCTGTGATTTTTTTAATACCCGGTTAATTAAACCTGTTAATACCCAAGGCCTTTTTTAGCTTTTCTCCCAGAAAATGTCATACCCATAATAACAACTATGTAACCACAAGGTCTATTTGAATAATGGTGGTGTCACAGTAAAGGGAAAATGTATTGTACACTTCAGCATTTTCTCTCAGATATCATGTCCTATCCAAACAGCGGTTAATTCTATACAAAGTAAAATGAAAAATCTGTTCATTTACACTGGATGAACCACATTTTGCCTTTTCAAAAACTTAAAGTGGGTATATTTCAGAGGTACTTTCCTGCAGAAGTAATAAAAGTGTTTTATTCATTTCAACACTGATGACTTGAGATCTCAGGGTTTAATGTTAAGCCCTGAGAGAGGGCACAAAATCTTAAGTGTTCACCTCTAGTAATACTGAGTCAGAATAAAGCATCATGCTTGAGGATTTTGAAGTTCAGGGTAAATGCTGCACGGAAAAGAGCTAATGGTTGATTTCTGACTCTGGACTCCTGTGGAGATGAGGGCCTCTTTCTCAACCTCCTGCTTTTTGCTCTCCAGGTCGCAGCTGTTGCTTCAGTGCTTTTATGTACAAGAGGTGGGATGAAATGCAACTGAC